TTTTAAAAAAAATGAAAACGTAAAAATCCGTGCGTGATATAAGCAGACTTGAGGTTTTATAACCTTTATAATTCCAAATTTTTTTAATAAAATTCTATGGAATTTTCCAGCGGGATAGTTTCTTTTAAATAACAAAAAAAAATATCATTATTATTATTTTTGGGTTTTGCGTCAAACGAATTTCTAATTGCTATTTAATAAACAAAAAAAAACTTTTCGCGAAAAATAGCCTTGGAGAAATTAAAAGTTTTTTTTTTTTTTTTTTTTAATGCCGATTTAAAATAATAATAATAATAAAACATTTGATTTTATATAAAAACGCGTTGTTTATATATATATAAGAAAAAAAAAGGTACGAAATAAATCCAAGTAATATACCTGAGTATAATATAAAAATGCCGAGATAATATCTGGAGATTTTCAATGACGTCAAAATCTAAAGTTTGCCGAGTTTTGACGTCATTGCAATTTTAATTTTCGTATCTATGCATGCCGATCATTTTATTATTATTGTTTTTTTTTTTTTAATTAAATTATTATTATTATTATTATTATTACAACTGGAATGACGACAATTTTTCCAGTTTTTTTTTTATTATTATTTATAAGTAAAGTTAATGAACTTTGATTTTAGGTGTTAAAATTAAAACGAATTCTTTTCTTCTGCTTGAATTTTTTTTTTTTGGAAATTTTGTACTCTATATTATTATTATTATTATTATTATTATTATTATTATTATTATTAGTTTTAATGACGAGTTCATTTTTATTAAGAATTTGTAAAGTTTACAAGGATTCAGGTTCATTCCTATGGAATGAATACTGGAATATGAGTTTCGGGAATTACGCGTTTTGTTCTACATATAACGTATTTTTTTTTTTTAAGTTCTGGAAATTTCCAGGTTCACCTTTCATCAATCACCTTTCATTATTATTATTATCATCATCATACGCTCATTTAAGGTTATATAAAAATTCTGTCGGATTTTTTCGGTTACTTCAAATGTATTAGGACGTAGACGTAGTGAAAAAATGAAATCCGGGATTTTTCCGATTTCCGATCATTCGCTTTGTTTAACAATTTAATGACGTCATCAATATTTTTTATCCAACGTTTGTTTTCGACCGACTGGATAAAACTACGGTTTTTAACCTTTGACACGAGTAACGCGTTAATATATACAGGAAAAAAAATTATTTATTACTCTATTATTATTATTATTTTTAATAAATTTTTATGGATTTACTGACGTATTAAAAAAAAAAAAAGTTCTCAGAAAAAATAATAGTAATGATTCGTTAGGGATTTATAGGACGTTTTATAGGAAAAATAAAAAATAAGGCCCGAAAATTTATTATAAATAATAATAAAAAAATTATTACGGGTGGTGGTAGTAGTAGTAGGGGTGGTAATAGTAGGGGTTGTAGCAATAGTAATGATGATAATAATAATAATTTATTTATTTATAAAATAAAGGTTTCGAAATTTTTTGTTTTTCTTTGGTTGGTACAAAAAAGTATCGAGTCATTTTGTAAAATTATTTATAAAATTAAAAAAAAAAAAATGAATCGTTTGTTTGTTTGTTTGTTTTGTTTGCATCGATATATACGTGCATTTTGTTTATTTTTAATTAAGCGAACGAAAACAAATAAACAAACAATTGGGAAAGTTGTTAAGTTTTATAAAAATGTCGATTGTTTGTTTTTTATACAACGTGGAAACGCCGACGTGGTTTCGACGTTGCATTTGAAATTTTTTTTGTGAAAAACGTTTGTTTTAATTTGTTTGTATAAAGAAAAATCCCCCCCCCCCGATAATGGTGAAAGAATAGATTTTAGGTCGTATTTATAACAACAAAAGGAAAAAATGGATATCGTCTATCATGAAAGAAAATCCCCGAAGGTATAGAAATTATGGTGTCGTGTGTGAAACTGTGTGAAAAAAATCACGTTCACCAAAAAATGATATTTTTAGTTTATTATTAATATTTCGGGGGGATGATATATATAAATAATAATAATTATAAAAACGCGGGCGTTATAAATGCATCGCGATTCGTGCATACTGTTTGTTTGTTTGTTTAACTAACCGTTTTCGTTTCTTTAATTTTTCGAAGATTTTTTTTCTTTTTTTTTTCTATTTAAAATTCGTTTGGTTGTTTATAAATTATTATTATTATTATTATTATTATTATTATTATTATTATTATTACTATTATTATTATTATTAAATAGTGGACTCGCTCTTGAAATTTTAAACAATCGAAAAATAATTAGTTGTTCGAAATCATTATTATCTTTGTTTTTTTTTTTGTTTGTTTGTTTGTTCTTTCTTGTAGATTTGATGGAAAATGTGTGTTCGTTGTCACGTCGACTAAATCATCAAAACAAAAAAAAAAAAAAAAAATTTTATTGCGTATATTTTCCCTTACGTAGATAAATAAATAAATTTACGCGCGCGAAACGCACGCGTAAATATCGCGTGTTTAAACGCGCGTTTTTCAAATTTAAAAAAATTAATTAAACGCTTATTATTATTGATTTAATTTCATTGAAATTTAAAAAAAAAAAAATTTTTTAATTCGCGTCCGTGTATTTTTTCGCGCGATTCAACGCGCGTTACACGAACGCGGCGTTTTTAATTAACGGAAATGTTTTTTTTTTTTTTTCGATAATTCATTATCATGAAAAATTAATTAATTAATTCCCAAATTTTTTTTTTTTTTTTTTGCACCCGCGTTCTTGGTATTTACATAAACGAAGGTGATATAAATTTTACCGCGTATATTTTCTTTCCTTTCGAAAATTAATTTTTCGTAATCATCATCATTATTATTATTATCTTCACGCGAAAAATTCTGATAAGAAAATTAAACGCGAAACCGTTAAAAAAACAAAACCCCCCCCCAAAAAAAAAAAAAAATGGCATAAAATGTTTTGTTACCTTGAACAAGTGTTATCGCGTCGTACTCCATTAATTATTTTTATGGATATTATGTATTAATAATGATAATAATTATGGATTTTTTGATTTGGTTGTTGTTGTTGTTGTTTTTTGTTTGTTTCGATTTTGAATTTTTATAAGAATTGGGAAAAGTACGTTAAACTTATTTACAATTTTTTTTTTATTTTGCTGGAAGGTAATTAAATGAATTAATTAAGGCCGTGAAAAGTTTTTTTTTTTTTTTTTTGCTGGAAATCACGCGTTTTTTCCCCGTAAGGTAAATATTAATTAAATGCGGTGTTTATTTATTTAATAATCGCATTTTTTTTTTTTTTTTTTGGAAAATTTTTTATGATTTATTACATATACGAATTTGTCCTTTTTTCCTTTGCGTACGTGTATTACGGTCGTCTGGAAAATCGGAAAAGATAAAAAAAGGAAGGAAAAGGAAAATTCTAAAGTTGTGCATTTCTTACGTTTTTCATCGCTTTTTTTCCAGGATCTGGTTATTCGTGTAACGAAATATTTTCTTCGAATTTTTCCGAACTGTTTTTTTTCTTCTTTTCCATTTTCGCGATTCTTACAAATAATAATAATAATAATAATATTAAAAATAAATTTCGTTAAATATAAAAATGGCGGAAATTCTAAGTCAAAACCTTGAATTGAATTTTTTCGCAATTAATTCGCACCGTTAAAAAAACGTTAATTTCGATTATTATTATTATTATCACTCA